CCCCCAAATGCTATATACCACGCAACCGATTCAGGGAATAAATTGGATTATGTAAATATTTTCTAATTTTTAGAAAATTAAAAATAAGAATACAGCATTTCATTACATTTTAAAAGCTGCTGAGGCTCATAACCACTAGAAATGACAGAAATGAATACGTAACTCTGCAGACTTTATTTAGATTAAATCTGTAGTTCTGGAGTTGCAAAAGATGCCCAACCAGGTCAAAGATTCTTTAAGAATTAAAAACATATATATATACATAAGATATTCTCTAACAAAATTTTGTCCTTTTAAGAAATTATTTTCTGCATTTTTTTAGAATAGAAAAATATGTTTCATTGTTATACCCCCAAAATGTACTTATAACCCTAGGCCTTGTTATACAGATAAATATATCAGTTTTACAATATAAGAATTTGTCTGTTTTAAAAACTTCGACCACATTTCCCACTTTTATATTTTATTCAAATATAAAAATGGTTAACTTCTGTTAACCATATATTAAAATTTCAAATAGCAAACAATAAAAGATGACTTAAATAATCATTGCAAATTCTACCCTTTTAAGAGTACTCGAGCTCTGGCTGGTTTGGATAAGTAGTCAGTGTCAGCCCACACACTGAAGGATCCCGGGTTCGATTCCGTCCAAGGGTACTACCTCAGCTGCAGGCTTGATCCCCGGCCCCGTCGGGGCACGTGTAGGAGGCAACCAATTGACATGTCTCTCTCACATCGATATTTCTCTCTCCCTCTCTCTCTCTGCCGCCCCCTTCCACTCTCTCTGAAAAGCAATGCAGAAAAAAAATCCTTGGGTGAGGATCAAAAAAAAAAAAAAAAAGAGTACTTGAATATTTAAAACATTAAAGTGTGAACAGAAAAATTATTTTACAGGCAAAGGTTTACTGATAAGATCATCATTGCTTTCAATGAGAATAAACCAAATCTTAAAATATGCCTTGAGAGTTCATTACTCCCCATCTTAATTTCCTTTCATCTGAAACTCAGACGTAATGTGTATCCACTTTAGGGAAGATTTATAAATGAAAAGTTTACTTAAAAAATAAACAACTTTAAATTTTACAGTATTTTCCACTTCCAAGATTCTTTTAGAGATGTGCTTTGTGGCTTAAAACAAGATCTTGATTTATAAAATCTCCTTCAGTCGTATTTAGTAAAACAAAATACAAAAACACAAATGGTGAAATATTAATAACTATTAAGAAATCCAAAGTAAAAGCGTAAAAAAAAAAAACAACACACCAAAAAAACACCATTTGTTACAGATACCTATATGGCAAAATTTCCAGTATAGTAAACAGCTTTCACTGGAATGTAATGTACCGCTTCATTACCAAGATTAATACTATTATATTAAAATGTAGTTTTTTTCCAAAAACTTTATCAACTGTATCAGTGATTGGCAAATTTTTCTTTATAAGGTGAGAGAGTAAATATTTTAGGATTGTAGGCCAAAAGGTCTCAGTACTTAACTCTGTCGCTACAGGAAGAAAGCAGTCATGGACAACACATCAATTAGTGGTATGCCGGTGGACTGCAGTCTGACCACTGCTGAATTAAACAATGGATTCTGAGTAAGAGACTAATTATATTTCAGGTCCCATATTATAAACATGTGATATATGGAAGTTAGGAGGAACAATATATACGGATAGACATCACTCAATGAACGTTAAGTTAAAATGTTCACACTTAAGCCCTGACCAAATGGCTCAGTTGGTTGGAGTGTCATCCTATACATCAAAAGGGTTTCGGGTTCAATTCCTGGTCGGGGGCACACAGGAGGCAACCTACTGATGTGTCTCTCTCACATCAATGTTATTCTCTCTCTTCCCCTCTCTCTAAAAAATCAATAAAAACCTATCCTCAGGTTAAGGATTAAAAAAAATGTTCACACTTACTTGCCAATCATAACTGCTGGTTTGTAATAATGTTTACATAAACAAATTAAATACTCTTTCATTCATTTTAATTCCATATTTTTTGGTGTGTTAATAGTACAGGACCAGAGTCAGATAAGTAGCCCAAGTACCATGAGTGATTGAGTACTCAGAGGCTAATCAATAACCATGAAATTTGGTGTTGACATCTAAATATTTCTACCCAATGAAAAAGCTATTTTATTTGCTGGACCCCTAAAGAAAATATTAGATGTATATCTCAGATGCTGTTTTAAAATTTAATTGAATTGTTACAATTTTGAAACTAAATGTGATTTGCTTTTTGTTTTATTAGAAAAAATACTCAGCAAGGTCTACAATCATCGGTCAATTAAGAATGACTTACAAGAACATGAGGCAATAAAATATAAAATACAGGTACAAACTATATATCTGAAACACTTCTATTTGGCAATTTTTTTAACAAATCAAAATTTAAAAAGAACAAAGAAGATTGCAGATTACTTCGCAGATACAGAATAAAGCAATTAATGAAGTGCTTAAGCAAAAGAAAACAAAAAACGGTAAGAAAACACACTGCTTTTCTTTTCTTTTTAAAAATAAAATCACATTTGCTACAGGTCATATGGATAATACCCTTATTAAACAACCGTTCCAGAATGTCTTATAGTAGCAGTGCTTTTATTTGCACTTCATTTCATTTTATATGACTCATTTCATGTATATAGCTCTTTACCCCATTGTTAACGAATAAAGTCCCCCATAATATTTATTTTTAAATTTTTTTTAAAAGTAAGCGAGAAATGACTTATGTATCATGTAACTTTCCCATTTTGGAACCAAAGTCTTCTATATTTTTGTCTATTCTTTCTTTAAAAAATTTAGTGTAAAAATTGCTGGTTTTTATATCACTGTAGTAAAGTGAAAACTCCTCAATCTGGAGTATTTTCTGCAGTTTGACTGCATATAACCACATACTTTACAATATGTCCTTCCAACAGTAAGGAAATGATTGATTTCACGGTCACTGTCAGAAATGAGTGCCATAATTCTATTATGGGTATAGGTCCTCCCTCAAAGACTTTCTGGAAGGATGTTCAATGTATTTTGTTCTTAAAGATATTAACAGTAGTACATAGTCCCTTAAGTCTGCAAAAGACATTTATTGTTAAAGAAGGTGCTTTATTAACAATTCCTCTGGCAGCACTAGTGAATTACAATATCCTTCAATATTATTTCTACCCATAATATATACATTTAACTTTCATGCCTCTAGAAAAACATCTACAGTACATTTCATAATATAAAAATATATTACAAATCTGCTGAATTATTTACAGGCAATGTTCTATTATCTCTATGCAACATTTGTTTGATACAATACTAACAAGTTACACATATTTCCATTTCTGTAAGTTAAAAAAAAATCCATATGGCTTCTTGCTTAACCAAGCAAGAAAGTGATTTTATTTTCCTTTTCAAAACCAACTTTGGTGCGTAAAGGATTGAGTTTGAAGATACGTTTAAAAAAAATACAATTTTTCTTACGTTAAGAAAAAACTAATAAACCAAATGCTTTCCTCAGAAAAAAAAAAAAAAAGAATTAGAGGCTTATGTAGGTTAAAATGAAAATAGAGTATTATTAAAATATCTGAAATAAAGGTTTTTCAAAAACCGTTAACAGATTAGTTATATAGGCAAATATTAACATACTGTACTCCATGAGAAAACCCTAGTCCTGAAAAGGGAGCCACCAGACATACGGCAACACTCTTTAACAGAAATTTGCAGCCCTAATTCGAAAGACGAGTATTTAGTTGATTGCAAATGTCGTTCACTGTTTGCTTAAATACAAATTGAACACTTTTCTTATCAGAGTTCTGCAAAAGAACACAAATGGCAACCAATCACATCTATTTATAATTGATAATTTTCATTGCCTAAATATGTCCTAATATGACTTCAAATCAATAGCCACTGTCAAGACAAATATCCTAACAGTGCTTTTGGTATTTGTAAGGACACATGTTGTAATTATTTTTCTTTCCAATATAAACTAACTGCAATCACTAAAGGGGGGAAAAAAGCAGCTTAAAGCAGCAAGCATGCAAAGCCTTTAAGAAACCGTTCCACTAAGTTGCCAAAAGAGTGTTTGCTCAGTCTCCCACAGTACCATTCCATGAAAATGTGGATATACAGTAATATATTAATATATTCCACAGAAGAGCCTACTTCATTCACAGAATGTTTACACTAAGCATAAATATTATTCTAAATATTGGATTAAAAAAAAGGAAGGGGGTTGACTCTAATGTGCAACTTTTTACTAAACCCATTGTCAGTGACTAAGACTGCAGGTGTCCCCGCTTGTTTGCTTTTTATGTATTTATTTTTTACCTCTTCAACCTCTTCTGTGGCATTGTTCTAGAAAAAGAGAAAAAGGAATATTCTTTTATTCAACTGTATCAAAAACACATTAACTACTTCAAGAGACATTAAAAATATTTATAAAATATAGGCAATGTGATAGTCACTGATCATCACTAAAATTTATTTCCAAAGCATTCACACATAATGAATGCAAATTTAGTTACATAGTATAGCTTTATAATTAATTCTTTTTATGCTGCCTGCTAGCGTATTTCTAAAAAGGGATCTCATGTCTAACACATGCATTTTAACCAACTAGAATTTTGAAAATTGATGTTTAAAATCTCAAATAATACCCCAGCTGGGTGTAGCTCAGAGGTTGAGCACTGACCTAGGATCCAGGAGATCTCTGTTCAATTCCCGGTCAGGGCACATGCCTGGGTTGCGGGCCCGATCCCGGGGGTGGGGTGGGGGTGGAAGCTGATCAATGACTCTCTCTCATCATTGATGTTTCTCTCTCTCTCTCTCTCCCCCTCTCCCCCACTCTCTAAAATCAATGAAGATTAAAAAAAAAAAAAAAAAATCAAATAAATAGGTTCTTTATGTAGGGGGTTCTATTACTCTGTATACCACTTTAGGGTAGACTAAAGTCTAACTCTGTAAGAGCAGAAGCATGAAGGTTTAGACTCAAAATTAATGTAAAGGTTGTGGGGACAAGGAGGTACAGGTAAAAAATATTACCTCCACAGCAGTACCTACACGTCTTAAGAACATCTTCATTACCCAAGAATGGAATCAGGAAGTACTGTAGAATTAGTTACACTATGAGAACATGCAATTCCTACGCACTCAGATATCAGTTCTGAGACTGAATGATTTTTTTAAGTCACTTTCACTAAAATGTCTCAATTGCTTCCTATATAGCACAAGAACAGAAAAAAAAAGCTGGTTCTGTGAGAAAAACAGACCCATAGAGAAGGGGAAATAGAATGCAGGGCAGAAATACTGAAGTTAGTCTTAATCATATAATTAAGATTCAAGCCCCTCTGTCAACTCTTTGCCTAAGAGATGTTTACAACCAGTTGTAATAGCAGGGTGGCTCTCCCAAAATATCACTCTTTTAGAATGCTAATTTTAATTACTCCCTTCAAAGAGTAAGCAGAAATAACCCTAAATTAGGTACCAGTAAATAAACAATATTCAATTATTTCTTAAATAGTGGCTTTTCCATATTTTGATAGTGGATTTCCCTCAACCGTCCTTTAAAGTCATTTCATTGTTCTCTATACTAGTTAATTTCTTGATAACTTAGTTCATTCCACACAAAAAACAAGGTTTTTTTGTACTTAGCACTTCCAACAAAAGGTGTGTTTTTTTTAAATTTCTTTTTGGAGTAGGAAAAATTCAAGAGTCTCAGTGTTTGCACATGGCAAGGCCCATTATGTTAGAATTTCGTTCTCAGAAGATGTCTCAAATTATAGAAATCCTATTACATTGAATAACATTCCAAGAAAGTTGAGTCATGGAATGAAAAGAACCTTCGAAGTGTTAATTACTTCAAAATTTGGCATAGGATATATAGTCTCATGATAGCTAAAATTCACATTTGGGATTATCAATTATTGTATGTTCTCTTATTCTTATCCAACCTATTTCTACTGTAAAATATATATTAAATTAAAATTTCTTTTAAAAATATAGCAAGTTTGTTCATTAAGAGTGCCTTTATAGCATTTCCACCAGTTTTGAAATCACCCTAGTATACGCTGTTTAAATAGAGGGGGTATGGAGTTCTGTCACACACTATCTGTGCAACCTTGGGCGAACTATTTAACTACTGGCCTCAGTTTTCCAATCTAAAACAGAGATAGTGACACCTACTTCACAGGGCTGCTGTATGAGTAAAGTGTGCATAAAGCACCTAGCAAAGTGACTCAGCACATAGTCAGAAATGTTGGTCTCTTCTCCTCCCCACCCCAATACCTTCATAAGTAGAGCACACTAAAACAAAGATCAGATTAGAAAAGTGTTAGCAATGTAAACCTCTGAGCTACCTCTTAAGAACAAGAAGTAATATATAAACTGCTCTTTTGAAAACTTTGGGAAGAGTCTAAGTTTTAAAACCATAATCATTTATGGTATTTAGGGTGCATGCAATACATTCCAAGGTCTACAAAAGTCTGATATTATAAAAAGTACTACATACTTAAACAAAAGGAACTTATATAATTGTAAGTTACAATTACACTACTTAAGATAAGTCTGGAATTAAAGTGGCACACAAATTTTATGAAAATGTTATCTTTCTCAATTCTATAATTTATAAGTCTTTGTAATGTAACCGCCATATAGAATGCTCCAGAAAATAAGATTATGCTTGGTATTGAATTTGGTACTTAAAAAATAAATCCTTATCTTACAATCAATATTTAGAGAGATTTAAAGATTACAATTCAGAAAGTAAAACATCAAATCAAGAATTAAATCACCTGTATATGTTTGGGTCCAAAAGCAAGGCAGTATCTTTGGGTAGCTTTGATAAATGAACTACTTTAGTTTTTAACTGATGTCGCTCACTTTCATTCACCCACACGTCAGGCAAACTATAAATTAAAAAACAAGTCATACATAAAATAACATTAGTTTTAAATTTACCCCTCATACACTTTCACATTACTCAGCCATTTCTGCTAGTTTGACAGAGCCACCTAGGGTTAATAAGCTTCTCAGAAGCCAAAGGAACTCAGCAATCTAGGTAGTGGAATGAGGAGAAATAGCAGGGTGAAATTTTAGGCACAAATTTGGGGATTCATTAGGAATTTTTGGTGGCAAAGCCATATGAAACTTAGAAAAACATATTAGAACATATTGTCTGTTTTTCAGCTTGCTGAGTGAAATTCACACTTGAGCTTGACTTGATGGAAATCTAACACCCAGTTTCTTTAGGAAGAAATAAGTAAACCAACCCCATCAAGTTCCACTTTTTTAAAAAACTGCACGCATAATCAAAATTCTAAAATCAAAGAAATGGCCCGGCCGGGCGTGGGGCTCAGTGGTTGAGCATCATCCTAGGATTCAGGAGATCTCTGTTTGATTCCCCGTCAGGACACATGCCTGGGTTGCAGGTTCCATCCCCAGCTGGGGCGTGCAGGAGGTAGCCAATCAATGACTCTCTCATCACTGATGTTTCTATCTCTCTCTCCCCTCCTTCCTCTCTCTGAAATCAATAAAGATATATTTTTTAAAAACCCCAAAAATCCTTTATTCTTTAAAAAAAAAAAAAGTATTCTATTCTTGGTGCTCATCAATTTCATCCAAAATTTCTACAATATATATTACCTATTGTAATAAGAAAAAAATTTTAGTAAAAGGATAAAAAGAAAATTTAAAATTGAAATATCTGAATTAAGGAGCATCTGAGTAGTGCTCTAAAAGGATACTAAAATGCAAAGAAAAACGTAACACTACTGGAAAGCTGGTCAATCCATTGTTTTGTATAAAAAATTGTGGGCTAGACAATGTTTAGAATTTTTTTAAATAAATAATTCAAACACTGAAAATCTTAAAAATAATCACATCCTATTAAAAATTGCTGAAACAACTTTTATTAAAAACAATAAGCCCGGCTGGGCGTGGCTCAGCCGTTGAGCACTGACCTAGGATCCAGGTGATCGGGGTTCGATTCCCAGTCAGGGCACATGCCCGGGTTGCGGTCTCGATCCCCTGCCGGGGGGGTTGCAGGAGGCAGCTGATCAATGACTCTCATCATTGATGTTACTATCTCTCTCTCCCTCTCCTTTCCTCTCTCTGAAATCAATAAAGATATATTTAAAAAAATAAAAATAAAATAAATTCCTACTTACTGGGGGGGAAAAAAACAAAAAAACAAAAAAGGCTAGTTTTAAAGCTTATACCTTGAGCTAGGACTGTAAGCGCTTTCACAGATTATCTCTTTAATCCTGACAACCTCAAAATATTTTGTAGTTTAATTTTTGTCTTTTATATTTGAATCCAGTAACAATTTTTGAGTATAAGATTTTAATAAAAGACATTAGTCTATTAATTACACATAATATTCCAAATACTTACATGTCTTCAGGCATCCAATGAAGCAAAAGTTTTATCTTTCCAGAATCCTCTTTTCTCTTAGCTATTACCTAAGTAATAAAAAATCATAAAAATGATTTGTAAAACATTATTCTAATATATCATTAAAGGGCACTTTTAATCCTAATTAAGAACTTTTTGGGGCACACAGCAATATATAGATCTTGTAACAAAGAAACCCACATCTCAAAACCTGTATGTTCATATTAACCATTATCACCCCAATAAATTAAGAAAATAAAAAAGAACTTTTTGATTAGGAACTTTTTGACAAGTGTCATATCCTGGACCAGATATTACCACCACCACATCTTGTTCTGCCCTGTTTTGTAGCAATTTTACCTTTGGTTATGTATTTTCACTAAAGAGAGAGAGAGAGAGAGAAAAACCTGAAGATAAGGCTTGTATAGCCAAATAGAAAAACCATATTATCTTTATTAAGGGACTGAAAATGCTATTTACTTTACTATCTCCTAAGTCCATGGCTTAGCTAGAATGCTAACCAAGAATCCACACTGACTGGAATATTTTTAAAGAACAAGTAGTAAAGGAAAAATACTTCTGGGAGGGAAATGTCTGTAATTTACAGCTGAGGTATTTTTTGTTTGCTTGGGGTTTCTTGGTTGGTTGGTTGGTTTTATTTTAAATGAAACATTAGCCAATGAGTGTTTAGGCTCAATCTTAAGGAATCCACCTAACTTTAAGGGTGGATCATCAACCTGAACAAAAAGACCTATAGAAGTGTAAGTAAAACAATATACTTGTCATTCATTACTAGATTCTGAAAATTAAGGCAAAGCTTAAATAAAAACAGATCAAGATGGTATTTTATAACTTACAACTTCCATATTAACAAAACTAGCACTTTAGTGTTTAATAATATAAATCTCAGTATTTTTACCAAGTTTAAGTTCCAAACAGCCACACTAAATTATATGGCATCCTCAAAACATTAGAACTAAGTAACAGTAACACTCTATGCAAAAATAAAACACTTTCTATCTCCATTATTGAAAAACCTATAGTCAAGTACCCTAATTCTAGACTTGACAATGAGATTAACTGAAAAGCCCAAAGACAGAGCTGAAGATGCTAAAACAAAATACCTCTACAAAAAAATAAGATATGACAACAATGTAAACCAAGCAAGCACAGCAAGCCAATTGACTGGTAACTAGGAATCTGGTGACCTCTTCTGGAGAAGGCTCGAAAGAAAATGTTTCAATTAAAGAAGACAAATTAGACATACTGCACAGCATAGAACCTCACAGATACATTTTTCTGCAAATTGTTTCATTATCAGTATGATTATTTCCTATAAAGGTTAATTTGGTAACTAGGAAACTTAAATCTGCAGTTGGTATTGAACATTTTGACTGCTAACATAAATGATTCTGCTTAATACATACTGCCTTCATCAAAACCTTCCCAGCCACAGGACTTCGGAGAATTTTGCTCACCTAGCTCCTTTCCTTTCTATTGTGTCCAAAAAAGACCTTTTCCCATTATGGATGTCTCTGCCTTCCACTTTCCCCAGGAAAAAACATTCTCCAGATCACACTCCACCTTTTGTGATTTTCCCTCAGTCAAGGTTACCTCTGCTTCCCCAGTGTCACTTGTGTGTACAAGTCACTTTTATTCCTGTTTTTAAATTTATGACAAACATACGTTTCATGTTCTTAAAACCTCTCGGATGTTTTATACAGCTAGAAAGCTTATTTTTATTGCCACAGACTCTTTTGACTCTCAATAAACTTTTAAATTTTCTTCCGGACTCCTTACATCACCACCACTATTTTCAATTCTTTCCCTTTTTTTCTTTTTTTATCATCTCAATTCCTTCCATAATAAACCTAAGGATTTTATCACAGGAACTACTCTAATGAAAGCATGTGGAAGTGGGGCTTTGCTTTTTAAAATACAATCTTCTTTATCACCGTCACCCCTCCCCTATTCCCTAATGTGTAGAGATACCTGCTCAATACTAGACCATTACTTCATCAGATTTATCGCTTATTAAATCTTAATGAGCCCCAAACCTTAGTCCTTAAATTTCTTCTCTTTTCTATTTATACTTAGTTCCTAGGTGACCTTATTCAGTCTGATACCTTTAAACAGCACTAATACGCTAAAAACTTCCATATTTGAATCTGTAGCCACACCTATTCTCTGAGCTCAAACTCTTGTGTCCATCTCCCTACATGACACAGGCACTATATGGCTCTACAGAAAGTGCTGAAATTATAGCTCTTAATACATCCCTAACCCCCAAACTGCTCACCACAACAGCCTCTATTTTAAATGGCAATTCAATCCTTTGGCCAGTTGCCCAGGCGAAAAAAACTGAAGTCATCCTTGCCTCTTCTTATCAAACCTGACATGTGTGTGATCCGTCCATAATTAGTGTCAGTACTATTTTCAAAAGATATCCAGAATCTAACCTCTTTGGCATCTCCACTAGCAGCACCATTCCGGTACTCTTTCACATGAGATACTGAAAAGACTGATCCCCTTATCTCTGCACTCTGACCTACAGTCTGTTCTCACAACAGAGAAAACAAAAGTGAGCACATTAAAACTTACAGGAAAGGAAAGAGATCAGTAAGTTCTCTAAGGAGAAGGATGGAGGCAGAGATGAACTGAAGTTACAACAGACAAGATTTTGAGTGATGGGACTGTTCTGCACTTTTAATGTGGTAGCAGTAGTTCCATAGTTAAGTAGAACTGTCAAAAGTCATAGAATTGTATACTTTTAAGTGGGTGCAGTTTATATCGCTATGCCTCAATAAAAATTATTTTAAAAATCACATCAGACCATGACTGCTCAAACTCCTTCGATGGCTTCCCACTACACACAGAATAAAAACCAAGGTCTTAGTCCAATGAAGATCTACCTAGTACTTCTCTGACTTAACTCCTACTCTCTCCGCCTCATTCATTTCCTCCAGCCACACTGGCCTCATCACTGTTTTTCAAAATAGCTGGCATATTCCCATTTCAGGATTTTGTACTTGATTTTCCCACCAGCTATGATGCTCATCCCCTAATAACTGAATGGCTCATACCCTCTCTTTCTTTAAGTTCTTGCATTTTTACTAATTTATTTGTTTATCATGTCTCTTCCACTAGAGTGTAGACATGGTTTACTGTTTTGTTTTAACCTGGTTTGTTCACGGCTACATCAGTAATACATGGCACACAGTAGGTGCTCATTATTTAAGTGAATAAACAAATTAGCCCCATTGCTACACTCTGGGTCTGGGAACCACGTCTTACTGAACAATTTATAGGCCTACCAAAATCATAAACCTACGTTATCAAACTTCAAAGGAGGACAACCAATCATCCCTGGCAAGCAAGCTACTGATCTTGCTGAATCCTAATAAAATTCCCAATGTAACCACTTTAACTTTGTCTTCAAACCCTCTAATTTTCCTTCCAACATTAGATAACTACATTTCTAATGTTCTTTAAAATAACATAAGGCCCTGGCCTGTGTTGCTCAGTGGTTAGAGCGTGGGCCCATGAACCAAAGGGTCATGGGTTCGATTCTTGGTCAAGGGCACATACCTGGGTTGTGGTTCACTCCCTGGAAGGGGCTCATGTGGGAGGTAACTGGTCAATGTGGCTCTCTCACATGGATGTTTCTCCCCCCGCCCCACTCCCTCCCTTCCTTACACTCTCTCTGAAAAAGTAATGGAAAAAATATGCTCTGGTGAGGATTAACAACAATAAATAAATAGATGAATAAATAAATAAAAATAAAAGAACATAGGTCTGCTATACCTTTCCTTAAACCCACACTCACATCTCTCATGTGTTTCAATGTCAGAAAAGGTTCCCTTTCTTTTGTGTCTAATCTTTTAATTTCTTGCCTTTAATTTTGGAAATCAAAATCAAAACTAGAAATTTTGAACTGGAAGTATACATAGAAGAAAAAGTAAATATGCCAAGAAAACCTTGTTATTATAGGAGATAGTACTGATTTTTTGTATTTAAATTCTCATGCATTTTAATTGAACTATAAAAATACAACCTTAATTTAGTGTATTTCATATTTCAACAGCCAAAATTAAACAGTCTCTTTTTCCAGGGATTCAAATGACTAAGAGCCTGGTCTAAAATTTTTACTTCTACTATCTATCACCAAACTATAGCAATTTAAATATGACTGGATAATAAAATGGCCAGGAGCATGGGAAGAAAGAATACTCTATTAACTTCTAGTTAACAAAATATAGACTATGTATTGCTTTTACAAATTTGATAGTTTTGTACTTGTGTTAAGCAACATAATCATTCAGCAAATATAATCAGTGCCTAGTATGGTATATCAGAGACAACTGTAAAAACCTAGGATACATCAGTGGAACAACACTGAACAAAATCCCTCTCCTTCACAAAACTTTAATTTGATAGCCATTATCTTTACTGTTTAACACAAACTTTAAAATGTGTGTTCGGGGAGGGGGCGACATGCAGTATGCGAGGATTTGAGCTAAAAGGAATCTAATGTTCTAATTTTACAAATGACGAAACCAGGTCAGAAAAAGACACCAACTATGCCTAGTGGCCCAAATGCCAACCCAATATTCCCAAAGAGCTCAAATTAAAGGCTAAAATAGTCAATCTAATCATAAAAATGTCAAATTGTGGAAGATACTTGCTTTATAACCAATAATACAAGTAATTTTTTTAATGTTTACAAAGCAAAAGGTTTTGTGATTTTTTAAAAAATGTGTTTTCTTAGATTTTGAGCTATTTAGAATTATTATTATGAAAGTCAAAATACATGTTCTCGCAAACCTATACAAATACTTCAAAAAAACAAACAAAAGCAATACTTACAGTACTATGAAAAACAACACTGTGTCCCTTTCCTAAACTTTCTATATGAGCTGAGAGGTTAAAGCATATGGCTCGATGTCTTATCGCATCCAGTGTCTGTGCATCGAAGAAATCATGTGGTCGTGCTAAAAGTCAATACAAAAGAGATAAAGAATATTTACATAAATAAAACAGTCTGCCAAGCAGCCATGTAGTCCGTTTTCCACAAAAATATGTAATAAGTAAAATGGAAACAATTAACAAGTATCAATCTAGTGTTTAAATCCTAAATTTTCTTTGCTTTCAAAACAGAGTCTAGCTGAAAAGGGTATACAAAAGCAAAATTCCAACTAATGAGTGAATGCGGGTTAATTCAACCCCTTGGTGTTGACTTCAGACCTTACAATTTCACATTTCAGCTACTATCTCTTTCATATACTTTTGTATTTTATTCCAGTATCTCTCCTGAGCACCACTCTGCATTTTCAACAATCGATGACCACTTCCATCTGTGTACTACACTGAGATCTCACTCACCACAACCAAATATACAGAATCCACTTCATTAACATTCTATATTAATATGTAATCAAAACTTTTTCCAAATTTAACAGCGGTAATATTATTTGGGGGGTTTTTAGAAGTATTTTTGATTATAAATAACTCTTCTAAAAAAAAAAAAATCTAAGAAAATTATAAATACATTTTTGAATGCCAAGGAGTCCATCAAAATTCTTTCTAACTCTCAACTCCTCCAGTTATCAGCTGTGTGATTTTGAGTAAATTCCTTAAATCTTAGCCAATTCATTATTTGTGAAATGGAGATAAAACATCTACAGATGATTAAGTAAAATAAATACCTATGAAAAATGTTTTGTTAAGTCATAAAGCAGTTTACATTAATAAGCTTATACCACTTTATAAAGAATAATAAATGCATAAACCCAGGGTAAACAGTCTTTTAATGTGATTAAAACAAAGTTATACATTGAAGATTTAATTCGGTAAGAACATTTTTAAAATTTTAACTTTCCTCCTACTATTATTACAAATTGTGTTAATTTTTATTCTTAATTAGAACATAGCTCAAAATAAGGAAAATGAATTTATTTGTTTTACAACTATGGAGTTTATTAATACATGTAATTTTATAAGATCATCTGTAATTAAAAATTAAATTTTGCAGACAACAAAAGAAATGGCTTGATTTCCTGGTACAGCATATTCTGAATTACATGTAGCTGATCTACCACACTATTCTGATTTACTACCATGTGGAGTGGATTTAACTCCACCATTCATAGAGTTGTCTGAACATCTACACAAATCCACCAGAGCTTTTGTGAGGGATGATTTCAACAAACTGGCATACACAAAACCACCTAGATACCTCTGTTATCGTGGGATTTTTTTTCTCAGAAGGAAATAAGCAAAACACCAACTAGTAACAAACTAGCAGAAACCATAAGACTAAGAATGCAATGATGCTGGCAAATCAGTAAGAAAAAGATATTAACATTTACAAGAGAAGAGTCATGATTTTACCTAATGCCGAGAAACAAATCCCCTTCCTATTAGATCTGTGACTAACTAGTATACCTTCCCCATCCTCTCCAAATATGCTTTTTCCTGGGAAAGATAAGCACTTAGAGAAAATAAAAATAACTAACCTCTCTAAATCTTTACAATAATAAAGGAGCCCTCAAACTTCAGATTCTATTCTAGTCAGACCTTAATGATACTATGTCCATTATTAAAATAGTCTCCAAAGCAGGTGAGTGTCATGACCCATTAGAGTAAGGAAAGAAAATACCTCTTTTCATCTTGACGTTTTTCAATAGTCCTTCTTGGTAACTTTTATAATGTGCATTAACAGTGTTACCTGTTTATACTATATACATATGTTAGAATTAGGTGCCCACACTTTTTTTTTTTAAACTGGTGAGTTGCATAATCAAAAGGTAAATGGGTCCATAACCTAAATTCAGTTGTCAATTCTTGCTCCCAACATTTACAAGTCTTATCATCTAATTGTGTTCTACCCTAAATATCCAGGATACATCTCATCATCTAGTCATTAAGCACACAACAACTGTATGTGTGTGCCACAACAGACTCTGAGGTGCTGAAAACACATACAAATAGTTTGGCTATTCACACACACATCACTTTGGAGCAGATATAAACTATCTTAACTTTTACTTGATTTTTACCTTTAACATGTTAATTTTTCTAAAATATTGTTAGAAACACCAACACTGCCATGTTTTAAATTTTCTTAATTTAGAACAGAATCAAAGTAGTCCTCAAAATCTATTTCTATACAGTTTGTATTCTAAGGCCATATACATTCACACTTCCTTAGCTACTACAGATAAAACTACATCACTACAGGTATCCTATCTGTTTATTATTCTTAACAAAAATAAACAGAGAAGAACAGTAAAAACTGAATATGTCCAAGATATAAACAAAAGCATTATAATACAGATTTTCAGTGAAACACTTACGTAATGAGCGTCGTCTTTTGTTCTTTAATTTCCTCCTTTTGTTTATTCCAGCTTTAGAAGGAGATTCTTCTTTGGCCTTTGGCTGGCTAGAAACTTTTGAGGAGTTCTGCTGACTAAAGTGTGTGGGTACATGGCGAGCAAGCCCTCCCTGAGAAGCAAAGCTGGCATTGCAGCCACCGACGACACACTAAATAAAAATAAAAAGGGTATCAGGGATGCTGTGTAGGGAACAAGTATAATATGAATGAGTGAATAGTTCACATTTTCAGAAGTAAATCAGCAACGCTATAGAACTAATGCCAGAAAGAAACTAAGAACCCTTTCATTTTATGAGTTGCCCACAGTAATAGACAATAGGCAGTGGCAGAGCTGGAAAATAAAACTCAAGTTTCATGACTCGGCAATTTACTGCTCTTCCCACTATAAGCAAGACAAAAATAGTGGATTCTTCTTCCCAGAAAAATCAGTTTTGAATTAACCACTTTTTTAAGAGGAGCAATAAGTTATTTTACATCAAAAAATTAAATATTCTGACAACTACTTGCATTCCTGGATTTTTAAAAATTATTTTTATCTTACAACATATATTTCAAAAGCTCCAGCAGCCTCCCTACTATTCTAACAGCTAGGAAAGAAATACCAATTTTTAAACTATTAGACCTAGCCTCTCAGAGAAGACTTTTGTTCAGAGATGGACTTTTGCAACCTCTCTATAAGTTCCAATAAATACTGCTTCTTGAACTTTCTGTACTTGCAAAATTGAGAAAACAAAAGGTCAACTACTTAGGTCAACCTGGTCAATCTGCAATTCCAATAATGAATGCAGAATGCTCGGATATCACTAAAATTACAATATACAAATTAGCTACAGTTTAAGTGTATGATTTCTACTTCGGCCTTAGTTATAACATTTGCAAGTGTTCTAACAAATGAATGTTAATTAAAACAAACACCATTTTCCAAAATGAACCCCGAACAGCAAAATCCACAGCTAGATTGCTGGTGTCTTTTCTATTAGTAATTTATTCACTTTACTTAGTTTACTTTACTGACATGACAACCAAACTCCAACCATGTAAATCTGTAATGTTTAACATCAATTACATCCATCAGATTATTCCTAGGTGGTTCAATTTATATTACACTTTAACAAGATAACATCACAAAAAAATCTACATGCATTTCCAGGGTCTTTCTTTCAACAGGCACAGCTACCATTTTAAACCTCTAAAAACACAATACATAAAAAAAACCACCTAAATATATAATAGATTGGCTAATTCATTTCAAAAGTACCGCACAATACAATCCTCAATTAGTAAGAGATCCTAACTTTATTCACAAAGTCTCTCTAAAGCTGCCTAAGTGAAAGGAGCTCACCCTCTCTTGAGGGGGTCCTTCACTGCATATCTAGATACTTATCCCAACTCATCCTTTCCATGCATTTTGAAGGTAAGAATATGAATATACATATACATACATATACATATATACACACATACGTATATATTTCCAGAAGCATCTTGTAAATCATAGATATATTTCTAGATATCAGCAGAACTGAACTGCTTACAGAATCTGATAAAACCAATGCTGGCTAAAACACTTCATAGCAAGCTCCTTATATAGTGTCATTAATAATTATTATTTTTACTTTGATATACAAGAGACAATTTTATGGACTCTAATAGCACTCAGCATTACTAATAAAAATCTTTGTCTACTCTCAGGTGCACACTAAGAGGCAGAGGAATGAGTCAAGATTTTCGTTCAAATAATTGTCTACTTTATGTCCAGTACTATACGAGATTCTGTAAGTATAAGGATGACTGACATACAGTTCTCACCCTGTAACTGCTTACATATGCTCAGCAAGACAAACATATAAAGAGACAACCCTGAAAAGAAGCAACTGACTATATCCAGTACTTTAAAATAATATTTCATTTACTTCTTACAAGGACCCTATCAATAGTGTGGTCCTTAGATAGCCTGCATCAAGAATGTTCAGTTATTAAAAAAAACAAACAAACAAAAAAAACCCCACAAAAGTTCAGTTATAGCCCAGCCGAGCATGGCTCAGCAGTTGAGCATCGACATAAGATCCAGGAGATGGAGGTTCAATTCCCCGACAGGGCACATGCCCGGGTTGCGGGTTCAATCCCCAGCAGAGGGTGTACAGGAGGCAGTCAATCAATGACTCTCTCATCATTGATGTTTCAACTCTCTCTCTCCTCTTTTCCCTTCCTCTATCTGAAATCAATAAAGATACATTAAAAAAAAAAAAAAAAAAAGTTCAGTTATAGCCCTAGCTGGTTTGGCTCAGTGGTTAGTGTTGGCCCAAGGACTGAAGGGTCCCGGATTCAATTCCAGCCAAGGGCACGTACCTCAATTGCAGGCTTCAGCCCCAGGGCCCCGTGCAGGAGGCAACTAATCGATGTGTCTGTCCCACATCGATGTTTCTGTCTCTCTCTCTCCCTCTCCCTTCTACTCTCTCTGAAAAGCAATGGAAAAAATAACCTCTGGTGAGGATTAAAAAAAAAAAAGTTGTTACAGACTCTTACCATGAGAACAGTATCTAACGGTTACTGAATTCTTAGAACTTAAAAATTTACTACACATACTCTGAGTACCAAGAAAGAAGGCTGCTTTTTAAAATTCCCTTCCTCTGTAGATTACCATATTGCCATATAATGACCCTGTCCACCACAGGAGCCAAGAGACAAGTATTGCTACTTACCACATAAGGCAAAGCTACTATAACTAAGAAACCAAATTTTTAAATTTTATTTAAATTATTATTTACTGAGGTGAAATTCACATTTCATACTATGTTAAAAGTGCACAATTCAGTGGTGTTTATGTATTCACAATGTTGTATATAACCATCAGCTCTACATCCTTGCCAACATTTATTTTATTAAAACCATCCTAGTAAGAAGTAGTGCCTTTAGGTTTTTATTTGTATTTTCTTAATAACTATTTTAATTTTCAATTTAAACACAATCCTTACCTACTGAAAAACTTTAAAGTATGTTTGGCACAACTTGGGTACACGAATCTACCTCTGAAACTACAAATTTTGTAAAATGTAAACATAAAACAACTGTTTAGCATCTGAATTGAGAGTGTTTTAAGAAGAATTACACTAATGGGACAGTTCTGCACTACCCAATACATTTTAGCTATTAGATACATATAGCTACTGAGCACTTGAAATGTGGCTATAAAATACACACCAAAATTAGAAGATTTAATACCCCAAGAAGCAAAACATTTAATCAATTTTGTATACTTATAAAAATAAGTTATTTCAAAGATATTATTTAAATTATTTTCGCCTGGCCCGGCTGGGCGTGGCTCAGCGGTTGAGCATCAACCTAGAATCCAGGAGATCAAGGTTCGATTCCCGGTCAGGGCACATGCCCGAGTTGCAGGCTCCATCCCCAGTCGGGGGCGTGCGTGCAGGAGGTAGCTGGTCAATGATTCTCTCATCACCAATGTTTCTATCTCTCTCCCTCTCCCTTCCTGTCTCCGAAATCAATAAAGATATATCTAAAAAATAAAATAAGTAAATTTCACCTGTTTCAATTATTTTAATGTATCACTAGAAAATGTTAAATGATCCACCTGGCCCGGCCAGTGTGGCTCAGTAGTTGAGCACTGACCTATGCACCAAGAGGTCTTCAGTTCAATTCCCTGTCAGGGCACATGCCCAGGTTGTGGGCTAATTCCTCAGTAGGGGAACTGCAGGTGGCAGCTGACAGATGTCTCTCTCTCATCAATATTTCTCTCTCTCTCTCTCCTTCTCCCCCTCTCTCTCTAAAATAAATAAAAACATATTTTCTAAAAATGATCTATTTGGTTTAAACATATTACACAGTACTGCCATAGAACACACCATATAAAACTTATTTTTTTTTTACTTTCCAAGAAGATACCATCCCTATATTCCCTAACACCTATTCTAAAAACATACATTACAGTAAGCATTTTTTGTGGCCAATGTGTTAGATAGTTCAAAGACTATAATATAAATAAGACAGGCTTTTCCCTTGGGTTCCCAGTGTAATACTAGTCAAACAAATTTGTTGGAAAAAACTCCACAATTCAAATTTTAGAACAGCTACTTGACTATAATTAAAAGGCAGAGACAACAGTAACAGTGTAGATCCAAGCCCTTGGTTTTCAATTCAGAAAACCAGGATTTTCCTTAATTATAAGGGTCCCAGTAGATTTGGCAGATTCATTTTCTCCTGGGATCCTTCAAGACTGCAAAGAATAGGTCTTGTTAGCATCTAAAACTAAGAGTAAATATCACAGTTTATTTTAATTAACAATTAAATCAATGATTCAATGCTCTGAAAATAAAATCAATAATGAAAATTCTAAGAGAAAACTGTGTCCTTTGATTTTGATCATTCATTAAGAATCATAAACAAATCTAAAACAGAAAACATAAATGTACAATAAAAATTCAAAGAAAGACTACTTTTATTAAAGAGAAATATAGCCTGGGAGACGTGGCCCAGTGGTTGAGCATCAATCCATGAACCAGGAGGTCACAGTTCGATTCCTGGTCAGGGCACATACCAGGTTGCAGGCCGATCCCCAGTAGGGGGCATGCAGGAGGGAGCTGATCAATGCCTCTCATCATCGATGTTTCTCTCTCTCTCCCTTTCCCTTCCTCCCTCTAAAATCAATAAAAAACATATTTTAAAAAGAAATATAATAGAATCACAACCACACATATTTCACTTCAATACAAATCTTTTACTCAAAAGGAGAAAATAATTTAAGGGTCATCTAATCAATATTCCACTCATTAGTGTGCATCAGAGAACACGTGAGAGACAATCTGCTGTCACCTCAAATGGCCTGTAGCACCTTCATTCCTATTCACATGAGCATTTCATGATACTGAGTGCAATTTTAGTGTTCAAATATTCACGTTTTTCACCCACATATACAACAACCTCTGAACTTAAGCTACCTCACACGATGTTCTGATGAATAAGCTACCTGTTTCAACAATTAAAAAAACAACTGGTTTTTAGAGATTGAATATTTTAAGTGTTCTATTTCCCAAATCCACTGAAACACTATGTTGTCTACCACTGTGGTGAGGTAGCTGTTCTAAAATCTGAAACATGGAATTACTGGGTATTCCCCCTAAACAGATTTATT